CGCCGCGCCCTCCCCGGCTTCCGGGAGCCGGCGCGCGGCCACCCGAGGCTCGCAGCCGCAAGGGCGCAGCGGGCCCGGGCCGCGAGCGAGCCGCTCCGGAGCCTGAGGGAAAAGGCGGGTCTCCGGCTTGTTTTGATTCAGCTGCGCTGACACGCTCGGGGCCCGCCCCCGCCCGTGACGACACTGGGGCTTCGGCCTGGCCGCGCCCACCAGGTGACCTCACGGCGGGCCGCCCCACCCGCATGACGTCACGGCCCCGCACCCCGCCGCCCTCGGGTGACGTCATCTCGGGGCCTCCTGGACTGTGGGTTTGCGGACCGCAATTTCTGAGACGCCCCAGCGACCGTAGGGTGTTTCTGAAGTGGTTAGGGGCCTCCTGACCGACCTTTGCGGAGCTGGGCCTGGAGCCTGTTCTGGAAAAGTAAGCTACTAGCTAGAACAGGACAGGAAAACAAAGGCTTTCTTTCCCTAATATAATCCGTTCAGCGACTGCCGTTCAGGAACCATAAGGAAATGGTACCGAGTCCCTGAAACATGCTAATGAGCAGTAGAGTTCCGGAATAAAGACTTCACTTAAACACGACCTTCCATCCAGAGAGCTCACTAAATAAATGTCCATCAGAAGCAGGCCCATGAAGACTAGGATGCGCGGGTGACACCTGTGAAGATGTGAGGACAGGGGACCCCAGGAAGAGTTTCATCTATTCTCTGCGCCAGCTCCTTCACTTCCTTTCCTCTCGGCTCAGAAATCTCACTTCACAGTCACCCACAGTCACAGTCATCCCACTTCACAGTCATCCCACAGTCACCTTCCCAGAAAAGCTGTCAGAGCACTGCCGTTTCTTTGTCTTGTCTACCTCTGATTATGTTAGTAATATGTATGTTTAAGTGTTTCTAGTCTGTCTCCCTCAAAACCTTCCTAGATAAGAGATTTTTGTCTTGGGCACTTCAGGGACCAACTAGCATAAACTTGTTAAACGAGTGAATTGGGTTCCTAATCCATGAACTACAGAGGAAAGACTACTTCAGCCCACATTTTTAGTGTCCTCTTCCTATAGTGTAATCTTGAATTAATTCAGTCAAGGCCCTGTGGCTGTGTTGTGAAGCCTAGCAAGATAGCCAGAGAAGTGCTGGAAAGGTCTGCACGTTTTCCCAGACAGGGTTCCAGAGAGCAGAGCCTGGAGCAACAGTGTTAGCACTGCAGACTTCCCAGTAATTGCTAGTTGAACTTTTTTAGTAGGATACTTGTGAACCTTTTAACTCCGCAATACAGATTGTTTGAGGATAGTAACTTTTTAGAAGACCCAATTGATAGTTGCCATAGATCAGAGATAACGTGTGTGTCTGTGTGTAGGTGTGTCTGTGTGTGTGTGTGTGTGTGTGTGTGTGTTCCCGGGCTCATGTGGGGCCAGAAGTTGACGGTCAGGTGTCTTCCTCCATTGCCTTCCACCTTATTTTTTGAGAAAGGATCTCTTCCTGAACCTGGAGCTCCCTAACTAGGGCTGACTGGCGGGCAAGGTCCAAGTATCTATCTGCCTGTCTCTGCCTTCCCAGTTCTAGGATTGCAGATGTGTATCTCTGTGCCCAGCTTTTTACATGGGAGGGGAGATTGAATTCCGGTCATCATGCTGGTGTAGCAAGCACTTCACCAATTTAATCATCTCCCCAGTTAGACAATAGATATTTTGTGCTTATATTTTCATGTCACACACGTGCACACATACCCACAATCCTGTAAGTACCAGTAGAGCAGGGACAGCATGTGTCTTTCTCACTGCACAGTCTAACATTAAAACCCTGCCCACAGCCACATTCAATAAAAACTGAACGGAATATGCCTAAAGGACTCTTCTGTATACATTTTTTTTTCTGAATCTTAATGTGTTAGCCAAACCATTAATACCCTAGTAAATCTTATCTGAAACCCAAAGACTTGTCTCCATGGATTCTCTATACCTTTCTCACCACAACAGCTTATATACACAGTATCAAATTTTTTATTCACTGTCTCGTCTGGGCCCTACTATGATGGCAGAAACCATGTCTTATTCATTATGTACACTGCTTACCACAGTGCATTATACATGGTAGGGTATTAAGTATGTGACAAAGGGACTGGTGGACTTGGAGGTAAATGCAGTAGGGTTTGGCGGAGATTAAGGAGTACAGTCAGATTCTGAAAACCGAAGGAAATTGTAACAGTAATTAATAAAGTAGAGATGTCAGTGGGAAGGCAGTGTAGCTGTGGATGCAGATAATAAGTAAATGTGGTGCATTTAGACTTAATTTCATTACTATTATGCCTCACTAGAGGTGGTGAAGAGATCTCAAAATACTTCCTTTTTGTTTTTCTTTTTAAATTGGTAAAGATGAGATTTTAGGCTAGAGTACAAGACAATCGAGATAATTATTTTCTTGAATAAGCACACTGCTGTCGTGCCATATTGATCCGAGTTAGCATGCACATACCCTGCAGACAGCATTCACACCAGCTGCCTCCCACCTCTACATAAGTGAGACTTAAAAATTGGACACTTTCCCACAAAAATATCATACTTGGCTCCAAACACGCAGACATCCAGCCAGTTGCAGTTCCGGTTAATTGTGTGAACCACCCTCTCTTCATTCAAGCTGCAACAGAAGGAAAAGGAGGAAGGAGAAGCTGGGCCATTTCTTCCATGCTCAACCTTGATAATCTAATTTTAGTCTTAGTCAAATTTGACACAGAGGCTGTAGTTACGGTTTTATTGCTACAAGGACAATACTCTAGAATCAAGATGCTAGAAACAAAGTTTAGGTGAAGCTAAAGGACCCATTTCCCACATTCCATACTCTGTGAAATTTCAAAAATCCTGACAAAATCCTGACATCCCTTTTCTTTACCTTTTTCCCATCATGTCTGGTAGGGGCCAAGGAGGGGCACTAAAGAGAACAAGAGATAGTAGACAGAAAGATAAATCCCTCCCTTAGATACTTCTGAAAGGAAATTTTTTTGAGGGGTCTTTTTGAGACAGGGTCTCCCTGTAGCCCCAGCTGTCCTGGAACTCACTATGTAGACCAGGCTGGCCTCGAACTCCCAAAGATCCACCTGCTTCTACCTCCCAAGTGCTAGGATTAAAGGCATGTGCCACCTTGCCCGGCTAAAAATTTTTTTAAAAAGCACCTGAACTCTGAGGCAGTGGCTGAGCTCCACACATCTTACCTGCTCCTTAATCCTCAACTTCCCTCATCAATGCATGTGCTCTAAAATGTGCTTCAAAAAATAATTATAGCTCTAATCTAACTTTTTTTCCCTTGATCTTCAAGGGTCCTATCACACAGTTCTCAGCAAGTATTTAAAAACAGCAACAAATCAAGGCCTTCAAAGGCAAACAATTTATGCCTTTGGGGGGGCAGGGAGAAAGGATTGGCAGATCTTCAGGATTGGTTGGAAGAAAGGGTCATTGCTTCCCTATTTTGATTTTGTTGCTTTGATATTTTGCGCTTGTCTTTTGGACTCTTGATGTCAGCCAAGTTTGGGCTAGAGTTATACCATAGAATAGTGTGTTAAGTATACTTATAAACAGAACAAGAAGAAGTTGAGTATCAAAAAAGCCCAATGTGATCCAAAACATTGTATAGGAACTCAGAATTCTAGAGATCACACAGTATGCTAAAGGGTGCTACAGCCTGATCTGCAAAAAGTCATTTCAAAAGAATATTCCTTAAACACTGTGTATTATCTCTGTCTTCTGGGAAAACCCTGTTCTATGCCTGTAGGTGCTCTTTGAGGAATATTGACTATTGTGTTTCTTTTAAAAAATGAATGGACTATTAATTGCAAACACCATATTGACTGTTAAATGACAAAGATCTGTTCTCCCATAAGACTGTTCTGAATTGTCAATAATGATGTTTTTCTCCAATATTTGCTCTCAAAATTTCTTCAGTCTATTAGTTATGATTTTATATTTTTTCATGATTTTATATCAATTCTATTCTCCATGATCCTCAAACTTGCTTTTTTCCTCACTTCTTTTTTTATTTTAAATAATTTATTGAGAATTTCATACAGGCATATAAGCATATAAGATTTTTTGATCAAATCCATGCCCACTTCCTCCTCTCCAACTCCTCCTATATCTCTCCATCACTTTTTTCTGATAACTTCATGTACTCTTTCTTCTTTTTTTTAAAATGGGGCTTTTTGCTACTCTTAACATTCCCCGCCCCAAGAGGTAACCCTAAAATCTTTTAAGGATTAGATAAGAGCTCCCAAACACTTTTGATATTTTTGACTTTGGAACAGAGTATGTTGCTAAGAGGCCCAAGGACATTTTGACTTTTAGCCAGGAAACTGACTTTTCTTTGGGGTCTTTTTACACTAACTGCCTAGCCAATTCCTACCTCCTATTCTTATCACACCATCC